CCTCCCCAGTCAGGATAAGATAAACCATTAAAATGACAATGCGTTTCAAAGTTTAGCGTTGCAAGGTATCAAACTCTTCAAATGCTCTTTTTTCCTAATACTGTTCATGTACTTGATAAAATGAAAGGTGTAACAATATCTTACTTTAATAAACGTATAGCATGGCTGAAGCCATCTCCTTCTACCTGTACTCCTTGATGTGGAATCTCCATATTAGATAACTAAATAAAAAAGAAGATGTTATTAAGTTATCATAGAATCCTAGGGCTGCAAGAGACCTCAGGAGGTCATTAAGTCCAACCCCCTGCCCAAAGCAGGACCAACCCCAACTAAATCATCCCAGCCAGGGCCTTGTCAAGCCAGGACTTAAAAACCTCTAAGGACGGAGATTCCATCACCTCCCTAGGTAACCCATTCCAGTACTTCACCACTGCTCATAACAAACTCACTCAAAGGGGGAAAACATGCACCTTCTGCAAGTGTGCATTTTGCTCTGAATGAGTTTCACATTCTAAGCATAGAAAATTGAGGTAACTGGCCAGCACACCATGCTCTTTTGTCTTCTTGACATCCTATTCTCTCCCCTTTTCTCTCTTCACTTTCTCCTGACCAGCTGGAATAGGAGGACTGAGTTCTAAAGCACTCAGTGTCCCGCCTCAGTTGGCCCATACAAACATATTCTGAGTATCGGCCAGATGTGCATTTCGAATGGAAGGTATAGAGAATGAGAGGGGGAACAGCATGCAGAAATGTCTGCAGACAGGTCAGCTCATGGTCCCACATATAGACAGATCTGTTTATACTAAGAAATCCTAGGAAAATTTTAATCTCGTAACACTTACCTCCATACGAAGTCCTATAAATGGCATATTTGTATCACACATTGCTACTAGATGAGCTAGGACTTTATTGAAGGCACACATTTCTCCAGACCGTTTTGGTTTCTTAGATTCTACAGAACATGGATCACCAGACAACTAAAATTGAAACAGAGAAAGATGGTATGTATTAGCACATTTGGAAAACTGATCAAGATCAGTGTTCCCTGTAGGGTGTGTGCTTGTACGGTCACTCAGGAGAGATTCAAATGCTGCCCAGATAATTAGCAGAGTAGCTATAGCTAGGGTTTTTGTTTCTGCTGTTGGTGCACATTTACATGAACTTTGGTGCATATACAAAAATGTATTCTGCACAAAGATAGAAAAATCCTCACATGGATGGAAAAGGTTAGAGAGAACAATGACCAAGAGCCCCTTAATTTTATCATCTTTCATACAAATTAACACATTTTTAATTAGAAATTTTGCGCTAAATTACTCTATAACCTCAACTCATAGTTCTTTCTATCTAGTCACCCTTTCTTATAAAGTACCTCCCTAAAAAACCCTTTACATACATGCCATCAATCCTAACATCAGGCACCATAGGCAAAGACTATTTTAAAAAGTAAACAGTTAAAGTTTTATACATTTAAAAGCCTAACTTCAGGGTTACAAGACTAGAGCAAAGGGGCCCATGGGTCACACCCAGCTCACAGGGCCCCCTTCTGCCTGGTTCCTATGCTTTCAGGGAGGCTGGCCCCTTACCTCTCTCATTCTGCCCCCCCCCCTTCTCCACAGCCTAAACTCACTGTGCCTCCAGAGCTGATGCTTTGGGTAGCCTGGCTGTGAGCTCTGCTGGGCGGTGTGGCCATAGCACCACTAGCCCTGTTGCTCTGGATGGGGAGCAGAGGAGGTTGGATAAAGGGGAAAGCGTTCCTCGAGGAGCATTTGGGGGTTGGGCCACACCTGGCTGTTTGGGGAGGCACAGCCCTCCCTTAACCTTTCCTACCCAGCCCTCCATACAATTTCAGAACCTCAATGTGACCCTCAGGCCAAAATTGCCCACACCTGCTCTATTACTTAAAAAAAGATCAACTATAGGCATATCACAGTTAAGTTAATTAAGTTACTATTACTAATTCCAATATTAACAAATTATGTTGCCCTTACCTAAAATATCCTTTATTAAAAAAGCTATATAAGCCCCGGTTGTCAAAACTAGTAGTAATAAAGGCAGAACTCAAGGCCACTAATTAATTTGTTTCTATGGCTGCTAAAACAATAGAAGATCACACACAGTGAAAGTGTATTTGACTAAGGTCTCATCTACAAAGAGAACGTATTCTGGAATAAGGGAGTGTGAGTGAAGTGCAATCACTTTTCCAGAATAGCTACTGTCGAGTAACTTATTACACAATAACCAATCCAGTACTTTGCCCCATATAGACAAGCCTTTAATTGTTGCCAGATGTAAGTTACATAACATTTCAAATATGCCATTATTAAAATAGGAAGCGATCCTCAAGCTGCATCTAGTTTTGAGCTGGGACAAATTAATCTTGTAAGTACTTCTAATTTAGCCACAACCAGACACTATTTACAATCCTAGGGCAAGCAATAGTGTCAGTTTCCATACGGATTTACAAACCTTGCGCTTGGCACCACCTTTTGCTTGTTTCCCACTTTTTATATCTAGTACCAACTCCTCAATGTTTGGTTTGAATTGCTGTAGTAAGAGTGCAGTAGCAGGGCAGTCATCTCCTTCAGGATAGCTCACAGAGAGAAAATAATTCTTGTATTCCAGTTCTGTAGGGTTGCCAGGAACTTCAAACATTTCTACCACCTATATTTTAAAAAAAACACATTTTGAAAGGGTCTTAAAAAATTTAAAAAGTTAAACTACATGAGTTTTTTTCCATTCTTCCAAAAGCTATTTTGTCTTTCTAAGAACATTGTATTGTAACAGGAAAAAAATTGTGAAGAGAAGAGAGACCAACCTGCTTGCACTTAAAAAACAAGTCAGAAGGCTTATGGGGAAACAAAAATGGATTATGCTCATGCTAACCATATTGCTTAATAGACAGACCCTGGAATCTAGAAAAATGGGGACTAGACATTTAAAGCCATCAGCATTGGTAGCCAGTCTATGATGATGTATTTACCAGTTTAAAAAAAATTGTGTTTGTTACACTTGTGTCTCCAACCACAAATTTCAGAAAAGTGTTTTCTAATTACTTACAATGTAGTACTGTGGAAGGCGAGTGAGTTTGATAAACAGTTTGTGCTTGGAAAGGTTTCCAACGGGATGGCTTGCATAATTAGCTAGCTGCAATGTTTCACTGGTTACTGTAGGCAGATGTTTTATAGACTGTTTGCATCGCTGCTGTCCAAGCCAAAACCTTGCATTAAAAGAAACAACTGTTAGTGCTTTGATGTTTTTATGTATAAAAATGCTCCAAAACAGTAATATACAAATTGAAGTTAATGTAAAGTTAATTACCCTAGACCAACAGAATTTTTAAAATTAGATTTACTTGCCTCAACCTATGTTTATATTTTCATCTGTCTCGGCTCTGATAATAATTCAAGTTCATTTGTTTATAGTCCATTTCACTTTTAAATTCTTACTGCTGCAACATTCGAATTTCAAAGACTACAGGGAAGTGTTCTTTCATTTAAGAACTTACAGTCAGGGAGATTAACATGGCCCCTTCCAACTTTACTGTGGCCCATTAAAAAAACGTACTTAGGAAGAAATCTTACGTAAGTGTTCTGGCAAGCAACATCACTATTTTCTAAACAGACTGACGCTTTACTCCAACTACTTTCTGAGTTTCTGCCATTTGCTAGCATGATTACATGAGCTTGAAATTTCAGGATGAAGAGGGCCTGGCCTAATAGAAGATATTACAACACATTTATCCTAATATGCTGACTCGGAATCAGTATAATATGTGAGATGTTTACAATTGGATTCTGGTCACACGGGCAAGATTACAAGCCACCGATAGGTCTCAGAATGAGCCAGAGATAAACAGCTTGATTACTGAGCATCCAGTTCTGTGGCTTCCAGCTGAAGTTTTGGGTGCTTGCAATCTCTGCAAATCAGAACAATAATTCACAAAAGGAAGCCTACCAGGTCCTAATGGCTGTTTTAGGACAGAGCTTCGCTGCCTCAGGGATTGCAATGCTCTCTCAGCCTTCAGTTACAGATCACAATTTGTAACACAGGAATGCTGATAATTTCCCAGGGTGCCAACAGAATATGATTTTTACAGTAACGTGCTGGGAGTTTGGGGAGCTTCAGGGTGAAACGGATTAGATATGGGATTTTGTTTTCACATGGCTTTTAATTGTATTTGTATTACTTATGACAGTCAGGCTTGGGAGGCTCTAAGGCAGAGGTGGGCAACAGTGGGCACCTAAGATAAGCACCCGCACGAGCACGCACCAAACGTTTTCCTTCCACCCACCTCCTCAGCAGAGCCATGCAGTGGCTGCTCACCTACTCCATGGGTGAGGCCGGTGGTGGACAGCTTCCCCACCCCAGGAGCAGCAGGGCATCCACCACACAGCCCTGGCCCTAGCTTCAGCCCTTCCCCAGGGCTGATGCTGCAGGCTGCATGGCAGCTGCTCCAGTGGTGCCGGCCAGAGTCAGAGCTGGAGCCACATATCCGGCATCAGTGGCAGCCCCGGCTAGGGCCAGAATCGTGTATTGGGTAGCGGGGGCAACCCCAGCCGGGTCAGAGTGGGAGCCATGTGTCAGCAGTTCTGGTGGCCCTGACTGCCTCAGATGCCCAAAGCTAGAGCGGCATCTGAGGCAGCAGTGGCAGCCTTGGCTGGGTCTGGAGCCACGTGGTAGGCAGCGGTAGCGGCCACGTGCCAGCTGCTCTGGCGACCCCAGCTGGGGCGAGGGCTGGAGTCGCGTGGGCACCCGCTGGTGAGCTCCAAGTCCGTGTGAGGCACTCCATCAGCTGCAGTGGAACAGGCAGTGCTCCTGGGGCTGGGAAGGCACCACCATCGAGCAGCGACTATCTTAGGAGCAGGGTGGGATGCAGGGCAGGAGAGGTGGCCACTGACCCACTGTTCCCAGGGCTCGTGGGGAACTTCCTTCCCTGCGCCCGAGGGAGCAGTCCAGTGGCAGCACAAGGTAAATGGGGCTGGGAGGCTTTCATGAACCTGTGTGGCGGGCAGGGGGCTATGTCTGTGAGCACAGGGAGGTGGCCACATAATGGGCTTCCAGGCAGGCAGGGCAAGCGGCCAGGCAGACAGAGAGAGATGGAGGAGTTCAAACCAGCTTTAGAGAGCAGGAAAAGATAGGAAAGGGGTTCGGGCTGCAGACCTTAAATGGAAGAAGATGGGCTGAGCCCCTAAGAACACAACTGCATACAGAAAAGTGGGGGGAGCCGGTTTCAGAGCGGCAGCAGAGGTTGCTGCTAATGCTCCAGCATTTTGATCAGCACTGTTTGGGAGCTGCTTTGGAAAGAGAAGAAATGTGCTCAGGGACAATCCTAAGGGAAGAGGGTGGGAGTTTCACTAATGTTGCTGCAGCAGCCCCCCCGGGGCTGATAGGTCATCATGCCAAGGGCTGTGGGCTGCAGCTTTTTCCCCAAAGCGTTTCTAGTGGGAAGAGAGGGGTTTTGGCAAACTTTTGGAACTCAGTAACAATGAAAAATATCTTGCTGTGTTTTGTTTTCTTTCTAGATTGAATAAGGCTTTTTTTCCAGACTAAAGAAATTTGGATGCCAGATTAAATCACATCTGCAGCAGAAAGGCAAAATCACAGGGGTGGTCAATTGAGGAACAAATACTGTACATTTGCACTTAGGCTCAGCCATAATAATAAAGATGTGTGGGTGAAAGTTCTGATTTAACAGCTCTTTATTCATTGTGATTGTGAAAGGGCTGTGTTAGTATTCTCTCTTTATTTTTATATATATATATATATATATATATAATGTTAGTAACTAGTGGATGCATGAACAAGGCACACATGGCCTCAGTATTGGTGCACAAGTCAAAACTCATAAGCGGGAACACTGGTGAGCAATAATTTTGATGACAGGCCACTCCAAGAATGTGATTAGTAGTCAAAGGCCACCCTCTTCCATGATATGAATGGAGGAGGTGCAGAGTCTGGGATGGAGGTTGGGTCCAGAAGGGAGCTTGAGGTGAGGGAATGTGGGGTAAAAAAGAGTGTTTTATCCAGCCCTGCTCCAGGGACATAAGGGCATATATTTTTATTAAGTTAATATATTATTTGCTTTATTATTAGGTGCATCACTCTTAGGGCTTCAGAGCACATCAAAAATCTATAAGTTAAAATACACCTTAATGATATAAGCTCATCAAAACTGAAGAGTTAAAGTAACTGCGTAATAACTAGAATGCATTATAGGGATGTGAAGGACTAGTTGACTAGTTGCTTCCCCCCCACTTGCTGACTGTCAGAAAGAGGCAGCAAAGGAGGGGGAGGAAAGGGGTACTTCAAAACCGCAGCGCTGCCGCTTTGAATCGCCACACGCAGCCTGGGCCTACTAAGGTGTCCCCAGGCTGTACGCAGCGTTTCAAAGCAGCAACACATGTGGAGCCCAGGATTTGCTGGGGACTCCCCCATTGATCTCAGGCTCCATGCAGCACTGCCATTTTGAAATGCCACAGGGAACCTGACGCCGGGCTCCCCATGGCATTTCAAAGCGGCAGCACCATGTGGCGCTCCCAACTGACCCCAGGCTCCATGTGGCGCTTTCGCCTTCGAAGTGAGAGGCGCCCTATTGGACTAATAGATGCAAAATGCATCAACTATTCAAGTAGTCAATATTTAACATCATTAATGCATTATGTTGAACATGGGCAACTCCTATTGGCCAGGATGGGTAAGGAATGGTGTCCCTAGACTCTGTTTGTCTGAAGGTGGAGATGGATGGCAGGAGAGAGATTGCTTGATCATTACCTGTTCGGTTCACTCCCTCTGGGGCACCTGGTATTGGCCACTGTTGGCAGACAAGATACTGGGCTGGGTGGACCTTTGGTCTGACCCAGTATGGCCATTCTTATGTTCCTTCTTTACTGCTACAAGGAGGAGGGTTTTTTTGTTGTTGTTTTGGGTTTTTATTGGGGGGGAGGTTTGCACAACAGAACCTGAGACATTCAACTGTGTAATAACAGAGGAGGGGGGAAACAGGACTGAGGAAGCTGTGCACATGTGCATGCACACATGGTGAAATTTTGACTAATGAAGTCAATAGGAATTGGCACAAACTTCAGTAGCAGACAAGATTTCACCTACACCACATTGTGAATGCCAGCTACCAACATACACGAGGAGGGATTTTCAGACAGTGGAGGGTAAAAAGCAGGCTTAGAAAAAAGACTATGGAGTCTACTCCCAGCAGAGGGAAGAGGAGCTAGCCAGAATCCTAACTTACTTTTAAAGGATATTTCTTCCACAATGCTGAAGAACTTATAATCAATTATAACATAAAAATAAGTAAGTCAAATGAACCATTCCAAGATCACTTACTTGAGCTGCTGAAGCCAAGGGATAATGCGTTTCATGTCATCATTGACAGACTTCTCTATGTCATCCAATGTCAGCTGATCTATAAAAATGTAATTCTTTAAATGAGAAAAAAGTCTAACATCTGCTTTGTAAATAGTGAAATGTGAACCTCTGACTGAGAAATAACTTTTTATTTCTGTCTAATTTGATACACATACCACATTTTAATACATATACTTAAAAGTGAACAATAACTTATGAAATACTATGCCAGCACAAGGAATTAGGCATACTATACTGAAAAACTAATCGATTTTCACTTTTCTCATACAATTTGAAAGTCAAGTTACCATAACCTGTTAGCACACTGTGCTGAATACACACACAAGCAGAAGCAGAATCTCAAAACTTGTCAGGTAACCCCAGGTCGTTACACAGAACTCTAAATTAAATGTGCATTAAATCACTCCATACAATAAAAAAAAGTGCTGTTCAATTATGATGAATTAAACAAAACATGCAATTTAAATGAACCCTAGCTATTTAGTATGTATTGTAAGAGGAGTAGTATTCAGAATATCTTACATTAATTGCTATCCAGTCACATTAAGGATCTGTAGAACAAGAGTGCAACATTTACTCACATCAGCCTTATTTAGCTACACAGTTCCATGGAGTCAATGGAATCGCATTAAGTTTACTCATAAAGGAAGGAAGATTTGAGTCTCTATAAGGTATTAAGTATAACTGATTTTACCTACTTACCGAGTCCATAAAGCATTAGTTGGAACATTCCAGAATGAAGATCTACAAAAACGTGGAGACACTCTGATCGACCACATGGCTCCAAAATTGGAACAACAAGAGTTGGAAGAGCAGTCTCAATGAATGCTAAATAAAAATTAAAAATACTGCATTGCATGACGTTCTACCCCACGTCAGTAAAGAGCACCACATCACAGAGTCATCCAAGCAATAGGTTCCTAATCCTGGCAATCCATATTCACATCAGTAATCCTCACTTGTAAGTAGTCCCATGAAATTCAGCAAGTTTATTTGCATATTACCACATTTCTCATGCAAGTGAAGAGTTGCAAAATAAAGAGCCCTATGTTGAAACAGCAGCTAGAAAAGCAATTTATTGTTAAGGGAGAGTGGTCAAAACCCTAACACCTAGTAATACCAGGAATATCACAAGCTTCAGACCAAAAGACTTCAGTCCCTCCATCCAAAATGTTATGCGCTACAAACTTCAAATATTATCTGCTGGGAACACATTAAGTACACAAACTTTCTGAAGCAGCTATCAATTAGGGATGTTAAGAAGCTGGTATTTCACTAATCATGTGGTTCAATAAATTGTTATCTACTAAAGGAAAGCACTCAGTCCTGGCTTGTGCTGGATCTGAGACCTACCCCTTCTGTGGCTCTGCAGTTTAACTGTATTAAGAGCCAGGCTGCCTGCCCACCCAGCTATTACTATATTTAAACTGAAAAGCTGTAGCAGGGGAAGATCCCAGACCTAGCATGTGCCAGGACTGAGCTGGCCTTGCTCAGTCCCAGCTCATACCAGACAGGGACTGCTGCTGGAGCAGCCTCTTTTTGTCGCAATCCCAGATCACCATTGACAGGGACTGTTTTGTGCCCCCTCCCTCACACTACTTCCTCTGAGAAAGGCAGCAGCGTGTGGGGGGGGAGGGGGCACTGCAGGGATGGTGCTGGGGGGGACACAAAACCACACACAACAAAAAAGTAAGATTAAATGTACAAGTCATGAACATACAGTTATCATTAACATTGTAGCTCTTAAGGATGGCTTTCAGCTCCTGAAGTTTCTGATGAGATCTTGCATGCACGCTGTCTATTAAAAGTTTTTCTATTGATAAGTGGTCAATCTGTAGAAATAAAATTACAAGAGCAAATTTAAAATAAAATCACGATACTATGAGAGAAACTTGCAATACATTTGAACAGACCTTCCTAACTTTACAAGTGAACACTTTAGATTGTCTCAGCGAGGTAGCAGTGTTAGTCTGTAACTTTAAAAACAATGAGCACTACTGTGGCACCTGAGAGACTAAAATTTATTCTTCTTCTTATTTTTTATTATAAGCACTGGTATCAGCATGTCAGAATCTGACTTAATAGGGAACTTACAAAGACTTAATTACTTAAAAATGCAGGACACTAGAGATCTGTTTTGCCCACCTTAACTAATATTTAACTAGTACATAACTTCAATGGACATTACCAAAATAAAAATCGCATCCAAATAGAAATAGGGGTTATACAGGTAGTCCCCGGGTTACGTACAAGATAGGGACTATAGGTTTGTTCTTAAGTTGAATTTGTATGTAAGTCGGAACTGGCTCCAGATTCAACCGCTGCTGCTGAAACTGACCAGGGGCTGACTACAGGAAGCCCGAAGCAGAGTTGCTCTGCCCCCAGCTTCCTGGAATCAGCCACTGATCAGTTTCAACAGTGGCTGAATCTGGAGCCTGGGACAGAACAGCTGGGGCGCTGCCAGGTAGGTCCCCCCAGGACCAACCCGGCAGCACCCCAGCTGCTCTACCCCAGGCGTCCACAACAGAAGCCTGGTCTGCTGGGGGGGGGGGGCGCGTCGCCCCCCCCCCCCAGCAGACCAGGGAGACCCGGAGCAAGGCTGCGGGGGCGGCAGGGTCCCGCACCTCTGCAGCTTTGCTCCAGGTGTCCCTGGTCCGCTTGGGGGGGGGCCCCCGCACACTAGGACTACTTGTTTTTAAAAAGGGACATTAAAGGAATGAATGGGGAGGAGGTTGGGGACCCCTGTGATTGGACAGCAAGAGAGCCACCCCCTTATTTTTATAACCTACCTCTACTCCCTCCCCTTGTAGGGGAGTCCTCTGCCGCTGCCTCTTTGCTCGCGGTGCCTCTGGTCTGCTGAGGACCCCTCCCAGCAAACCAGGGACACCAGGAGCAGCTTTTCTCGCCCTGGAGAATGCGGTGGCGGGACCACTGCGCGTCTGCGTGGTCCTGCCGCCCGTGAGTTCCGGGGCGAGAAAAGCCCCGGTCGTAAGTGCGGATCCGACATAAGTCGGATACGCCTAACTCGGGGACTGCCTGTAGTTCGTTATTTCAGAATACTCTGACTAGCCACACATATTTTGTGAGTTTAAGATCAAGGGCATTACTAGATTAAAGATGAGCTAAAACAGACCAGTGATATTATCTACAGTTACTGAGCAGAATTAAGTTTTACATTTCTACAAATTGAACACATATTAATATTTTAGCATAATACTTATAAATACAGGCCAAGGTTTTCAAATGTAACTACAAGTTCAACTTCTCTAGTCCAGCACACTCTGGTCCAGCAACATCCATGGTTTGGCATGATTTTAATAAGCTGGGTGTTGACATTTCATGGATATGACCAAGTTTTCTGTGGTCCCGCGGCCACCAGTCCTAGCTCTCAGTGTTCTGTGCTGTTATTTAGCTCTAATTTACCCCTCAATGTCTTCTATGAGCTCAGTAAACAGTGGAAGTATTGGTAGTGTTGCTAGACAATATTGACCTCCCATAGTCTGGCAAATGCTCTGGTTTGGCACTAGTCAGGACTACAGAGGTTCAAACATGTAGTAGTTTTTGGTGACCAACCTGAGACACCCTGTAGGGACCTGCTTTCCGAAGGCAAGTATGCTGGGATTCCTGAAAATTAGACCTTTCAAGGTGTATCAAGCTGCATAATCACTAGTTCATTTTTAAACTCTTTGCCATAGTTTTCCCCACCACCACTCCTTTGTAATACAGTGAGGCACTCAGAAATTTTAATCATCTATGAAATCTATCATATGTTTGTGCAAGTCTGTCTGTCTGTTCAAGAACTCCTCCTAAACAGTATGAGTTAAAACCAGCTTCCTCTTATCATAACAAAGCAATGTAAGGGTTTGGTTGTGCCAGGAAAAAGGAATGTGCCTGGACTGGGATTGCTTCTTAAACAACAGAGAAAAGAGACAATTACCAGATAGGTGAAATGGGCAAGCTGGGCACCCTTTCCCCTCCCATGTGGGACTGCCCCAGCCCTGAGCCTCCCACTGCCAGGCACTCTTTAGGCAGGGCAGAAGGTGGGGCACTAAAGCTCCCTTCCTACCACCTTATACCCATTCAGACAGGGACATGGCTGGCTGTTCCCTTTCATCAGGGAGTGAGGGGAAAGTGCACAGTTTGCAGCATTCCTCGCTCTAGCTAGGGAGCACAAGGGGCAGATGGATCTTGACCTGCCCCAGCTGGGAGATGTGCACCCACATATGTGGGTGCACATCTCCCAGTTGTGCCCACTAGAGCTGCAGCAGCCATGGAGAGGCACTTCTCATTAGGAATGTGGAAGTGTGTATTTGTTTAAACAATTAATCAGTGAGCTAGGGTTTATCAGTTAACTGTCACAATTACATGCAAGGACACACCCCCTTATCTGTGCCCTCCCACCCACCTCACTGCTGCCTCTGGCAGGCGAGTGCTGGTACGTGTGAGAAGCCAGCTTTTAAGACAGTTCCCTGCACATACCAGCTCCTATGAAGCAGCACAGGGGAGGGAGGAAGCAGGTGTCTCCATATCCTGCGGAGCACCTCCCTCCCATGTGTAAACGTGTAGCCGCTGCAGTGAGAGGGCTGTGATAGTCCTCTCTTCCCAGGGCACCCTGCTCACCGAACCCCTCATCTCCAGTCCCCCCTCATAGCAATGATTTAAATAAAGCGCATACATTTTCATTTTATTTTCCAAAAAAACAAAAAATTCGTTAAGGACCTGAGCAACACCAGGTCAATTTTCTAGTATACTTTAAGTCAGAAATTTGTGGAGGTCACAAAAGAAATGGCATCTAACCTAGCGCAATAGAATTCAATACTGAATTAGAGGCTTAACTCCTTAAATAGGTTCTGGTAGTGAGATCACACATCAACTCAATATAGTTATATCTGCTTGATTTAGACAACTAAATGCCTGCTGCACTGGAGAGCTTTACCTTCATGGCTCTTTCCATTAATTTGGAATCAGAAGCTGGCAGGGGAGGTTCATGGGAAATTTGCAAGGGTTTTGAGACATCGTTCTCATCAATTTTAATCGTGACCTTGTGAAGAGATGCAGTCCCTGTTTTTCTCCCAACTACCTGTTGGCTTAAAATAAAAACGTGCAATATTAAATAATTTGACATTTTAAACTAAAAGTATAAAAGTTATTCTTGCTGAAGCACTCCAAGCCTGGTAGTGATATTACAGCCAGTGTAATCATAGCAGGTAGCAAGACACTTTTCAGTAGTCAATATTTGATTGAGAAAGCACAGCACAGAAAACATTAAGTCAGTTATGTTACATTAAAAGTAATTAGAAAAATACAGTGATAAAATGAAGTATTTAAACTAGCACATTATTAGCTTACAAGACTCACCGCTTGCAGGATATCAAATAAGATTGCAGATAAAAGCAGATGAGATAAATGAATCAGAATAGCATCAACAGTTAATTAGTTAATATATGGCTCCTAATAATTGTGGTTCAATTTTCTGATGCACCCACCATCTCCACCTAGGTTAACGTGAAATGCAGATGCTCAGATTCCTCAAATTCAGCACACATATTTAGGTGATTATATACAACAGTTGAGACGACGTAGATGTCAAAATTCAGGTTTGAAAAATTCAGGCCTTAGTTTATTGATTACAAATGCACCAACATTTAAGAGTCTTCTTGCATGTCTGTCAGCATAAATGAGTCCTATGAAATAATTTAACTTACTTCCAAACAGAAAGCGAGAGACACTTCCCTGCATGATATCGCTCCACTTGCACAAGGTCACCCCACCGTTCCCGTATCAGCATTAGTGTTTGTGAATGCAAAACCTCTAACTGAAGTGATAAGCAGAAGGAGTCTAAGGAATGGAGTTAAGAAAATACAAACACACAGTAACAGAACATCACAAATCTTTTCTGTGGTCCTTTACACACACCACAGCTTCCCCAAATCTTGACCAGTATACAAAATAAACCACCAACTATTTGTCAAAGCTTTCTTTAAGATCTTGCACAGCATCCTGTTTTAAACTTTTAGAGCACTCTCTGCTAGCTGCTTAGGTATTTGAAATCAGACTGCTTTTTGGTGAAGGGCAAATATTACAAGAAATGCAGTTCATAATTAAGTTGGTAGAAAAACTTACATTCTGTTGTTACACTACATGCTTATCTTAAGAAATTTTTATTTTTGCATAGAATCACTTGTTTCATTGATATGTATTTCACATTACCCAAATATTAATCTACCCCTTGTATGAATGAAGTCAATTCAGTGACTAATGCATAAATTATTTTCCACTTTACTGCCCACAGGTGCAACAAAAGTTTAATTGACTAACAGAATGGCAATGTTTTTAATGTGCAGTAGCCAACAATCCTTAAGTCAGCATTTTGTTCTATTAGAGGGCTGCACCCGCTGCTCGCCAACCCCCCAGTATCTGGCGACTTTTGCAGGAGCAAAGGAGGGTGTAGAAGCAAGTTTAAAGTAGGATGTGTGGCTAAGGGGGAGGGTGCAAGAGCAGGCTGGGGCAGGGTGGCTGGCTAGGAGGGAGGGGGCGCAGGGTTTTGGCAAGGGGTGAATGAGGGAGCTCGGAGTGTGGGGTCTCGGCAGGGGGGTGAGTGAGCAGGGTGGGAGTGCAGGGGTCTCAGCAGAGCAGTGTGCGGGAGGCTGGCGGTGCAGGATCTCAGCTTTGGGAAATATGAGTGAGCGGGCTGGAGGGGCGGGGTCTTGGCAGGGTGGTGAGTGAGGGCATGAGGGTGCAGGATCTTGGCAGAGAGGGCATGTGAGGGGTCTTAACTTGGGCTGACCAGTGGCAATGGAAGCATGGCGCTGTGTGAGGAGGGGCCATAACTGGTAGGGCTGTGGGGGAAGCAGCTGGGGCTAGCGGGTGGGGCCAGGAGCTGGTAGTGCCATAAGATGTCCCGTCCCCCCCTTTGGGAAAGAGATGTAAGGGACAGAGGAGCTGCCTGGAGTGGCTAGTGAGGTGCCCTGTCTGGAGGTAAACATGGGAGGGAGGCTACACCGATGACACGACGACATCATTCTGTCATCCATCAAGAGCTTTTTTTTATATATACACGATAGAGACAGAGAGAGAGAGAGAGAGAGAGAGAATGAAACTACTCAAATATTGTAAGGGTAAATAGTTTAACACACAAAGCTACCAGACTCTTACATTCAGGTGACCTGATCCAGTCAATGATGCAATCCTAGT